CTAGAATAGGGGTGTCCAAACTCTGTCCTGGAGGGCCGGTGTCCTGCAGAGTTTAGCTCCAACTTGCCTCAACACACCTGCCAGAACAGTTCTAGTTAGCCTACGAAAAGCTTGATTGGGGTTGGATATAAACTATGCAGGACACCAGCCCTCCAGGGGGGGGTATTCCAGAAAGCTGGGTTAACTTACCAACTGCGAAACCCTGAACTCTCGGTTGATTGACCCAAAACCTGTTTACCAGTTAAAACAGACAAACTCTGGAACATAGCAACTTACTCTCTGAAGATAACCTCCTCCGGAGCAGGTTATCTTTAGAGAGTAGGTTGCTGTGGCTACTTAACATACCCCAGAAGTTACCTCAGATTTTGCAACCAAAGTAGAGGTTAAATAATAATTTTACACTAAAAATAAATGTCAATAAAGAAAAAAATTTAAATAAATTTTAATAAATGAAATTAAATAACAATTAATTAATTAATTAATTAATTTCAAATAAATAAAATAAAATATTCTACAAAAAAGAAATAATTTTTTTAATAAATTAAAATAAATTGATAAATTAAAATAAATTAATTAAATGTAAATAAATTAAAAATGAATGAAAAAAGTTGGCATTTAAACAAATAATTTTACAATGAAAATAAATGTCAATAAAGAACAATTAAAATATAATTTAAATCAATGTAAAATGAATAACAATTAATTAATTAATTTCAAATAAATAAAATAAAATATATTACAATAAATAAATATTTTTTCAATAAATTAATATAAATTAATAAATTAAAATAAATTAATTAAATGTTAATAAATGAATGAAAAAAGTTGGCATTTAAACATAAATAATAATTTTACAATGAAAGTCACAGCAAGAAGGTCTCTGGTTCGAGTCGCAGCTGGGTCAGTGGTCATTTTTGTGTGGAGTTTGCATGTTCTCCCTGTGTTGTCGTGGGTTTCCTCCGGGTGCTCCGGTTTCCCCCACAGTCCAAAGACATGCGCTATAGGGGAATTGGGTAGGCTAAACTGGCCATAGTGTATGGGTGTGAATGTGAGAAATGTGTGTGAGAATGTATGGGCATTTCCCAGTATTGGTTTGCAGCTGGAAGAGC